GCTTTGGGTAGTATAGCCATTTTGACAATATTGATTCTTCCAATCCATGAACACGGTATGTTTCTCCATCTGTTTGTGTCCTCTTTGATTTCTTTAATCAGTGTTTTATAGTTTTCTATTTATAGGTCTTTTGTTTCTTTAGGTAGATATACTCCTAAGTATTTTATTCTTTTTGTTGCAATGGTGAATGGTATTGTTTCCTTAATTTATCTTTCTGTTTTCTCATTGTTAGTGTATAGGAAAGCAAGGGATTTCTGTGTGTTAATTTTATATCCTGCAACTTTACTATATTCGTTGATTAGCTCTAGTAATTTTCTGGTAGAGTCTTTAGGGTTTTCTATGTAGAGGATCATGTCATCTGCAAACAGCAACAGTTTTACTTCTTCTTTTCCTATGTGGATTCCTTTTACTTCTTTTTCTGCTCTGATTGCTGTGGCCAAAACTTCCAAAACTATGTTGAATAGTAGTGGTGAGAGTGGGCACCCTTGTCTTGTTCCTGATTTCAGGGGAAATGGTTTCAATTTTTCACCATTGAGGGTAATGCTTGCTGTGGGTTTGTCATATATAGCTTTTATTATGTTGAGGTATGTTCCTTCTATTCCTGCTTTCTGGAGAGTTTTAATCATAAATGGGTGTTGAATTTTGTCAAAGACTTTCTCTGCATCTATTGAGATAATCATATGGTTTTTATCTTTCAATTTGTTAATGTGGTGTATTACATTGATTGATTTGTGGATATTAAAGAATCCTTGCATTCCTGGGATAAAGCCCACTTGGTCATAGTGTATGATTTTTTAAATATGTTGTTGGATTCTGTTTGCTAGGATTTTGTTAAGGATTTTTGCATCTATGTTCATCAGTGATATTGGCCTGTAGCTTTCTTTTTTTGTGGCATCTTTGTCTGGTTTTGGAATTAGGGTGATGGAGGCCTCATAGAATGAGTTTGGAAGTTTACCTTCTTCTACAATTTTCTGGAAGAGTTTGAGTAAGATAGGTGTTAGCTCTTCTCTAAATTTTTTGTAGAATTCAGCTGTGAAGCCATCTGGTCCTGGGCTTTTGTTTGCTGGAAGATTTCTGATTACAGTTTTGATTTCCTTGCTTGTGATGGCTCTGTTAAAATCTTCTTTTTCTTCCTGGTTCAGTTTTGGAAAGTTATAATTTTCTAAGAATTTGTCCATTTCTTCCAAGTTGTCCATTTTATTGGCATATAGTTGCTGGTAGTAGTCTCTTATGATCCTTTGTATTTACGTGTTATCTGTTGTGATCTCTCCATTTTCATTTCTAATTTTGTTAATTTGATTCTTCTCTCTTTGTTTCTTAATGAGTCTTGCTAATGGTTTGTCAATTTTGTTTATTTTTTCAAAAAACCAGCTTTTAGCTTTGTTGATTTTTGCTATGGTCTCTTTATAGTTTCTTTTGCATTTATTTCTGCGCTAATTTTTAAGATTTCTTTCCTTCTACTAACCCTGGGTTTTTTCATTTCTTCCTTCTCTAATTGCTTTAGGTGTAGAGTTAGGTTTTTTATTTAACCTTTTTCTTGTTTCTTGAGGTAAGCCTGTAATGCTATGAACCTTCCCCTTAGCACTGCTTTTACAGTGTCCCATAGGTTTTGGGTTGTTGTGTTTTCATTTTCATTCATTTCTATGCATATTTTGATTTCTTCTCTGATTTACTGGTTATTCAGAAGCGTGTTATTTAGCCTCCATATGTTTGAATTTTTAACATTTTTTTTTCCTGTAATTGAGATCTAATCTTACTGCACTGTGGTCAGAAAAGATGACTGGAATGATTTCAATTTTTTTGAATTTTCCAAGACTAGATTTATGGCCCAGGATGTGATCTGTTCTGGAGAAGGTTCCATGTGCACTTGAGAAAAAGGTGAAGTTGATTGTTTTGGGGTGAAATGTCCTGTAGATATCAATTAGGTCTAGCTGGTCCATTGTGTCATTTAAGGTTTGTGTTTCCTTGTTAAGTTTCTGTTTAGTTGGTCTATCCACAGTTGTGAGTGGGATATTAAAGTCTCCCACTATTATTGTGTTACTATTAATTTCCTCTTTCATACTCATTAGCGTTTGCTGTACACATTGCGGTGCTCCTATGTTGGGTGCATATATATTTATAATTGTTATATTTTCTTCTTGGATTGATCCTTTGATCATTATGTAGTGTCCTTCTTTGTCTCTTTTCACAGCCTTTATTTTAAAGTCTATTTTATCTGATATGAGTATTGCGACTCCTGCTTTCTTTTGGTCTCCGTTTGCATGAAATATTTTTTTCCAGCCCTTCACTTTCAGTCTGTATGTGTCTCTTGTTTTGAGGTGGGTCTCTTGTAGACAGCATATATCGGGGTCTTATTTTTGTATCCATTCAGCCAGTCTTTGTCTTTTGGTTGGGGCATTCAACCCATTTACATTTAAGGTAATTATTGATAGGTGTGGTCCCATTGCCATTTACTTTGTTGTTTTGGGTTCACGTTTATACAACCTTTCTGTGTTTCCTGTCTAGAGAAGACCCTTTAGCATTTGTTGAAGAGCTGGTTTGGTGGTGCTGAATTCTCTCAGCTTTTGCTTGTCTGTAAAGCTATTGAATTCTCCTTCATATCTGAATGAGATCCTTGCTGGGTACAGTGATCTAGGTTGTAGGTTATTCTCTTTCATTACTTTAAGTATGTCCTGCCATTCCCTTCTGGCCTGGAGGCTTTCTATTGATAGATCAGCTGTTATCCTTATGGGAATCCGCTTGTGTGTTATTTGTTGTTTCTCCCTTGCTGCTTTTAATATTCATCCTTTGTGTTTGATCTTTGTTAATTTGATTAATATGTATCTTGGGGTGTTTCACCTTGGGTTTATCCTGTTTGGGACTCTCTGGGTTTCTTGGACTTGGGTGGCTATTTCCTTCCCCATTTTAGGGAAGTTTTCAGCTATTATCTCCTCAAGTATTTTCTCATGGACTTTCTTTTTGTCTTCTTCTTCTGGAACTGCTATGATTCGAATGTTGGGGCATTTCACATTGTCCCAGAGGTCCCTGAGGTTGTCGTCATTTCTTTTGATTCTTTTTTCTTTTTTCCTCTCTGCTTCATTTATTTCCACCATTTTATCTTCTACCTCACTTATCCTATATTCTGTCTTGTTATTCTACTGTTGGTTCAATCCAGAGTGTTTTTGATCTCATTTATTGCATTATTCATTTTTAATTGACTCTTTATTTCTTCTAGGTCTTTATTAAACTTTTCTTGCATCTTCTCAATCTTTGTCTCCAGGCTATTTATCTGTAACTCCATTTTGTTTTCAAGATTTTGGATCATTTTTATTATCATTATTCTAAATTATTTTTCAGGTAGATTCCCTATCTCCTCCTCTTTTGTTTGACTTGGTGGGCATTTTTCATGTTCCTTTACCTGTTGGGTATTTCTCTGCCTTTTCGTCTTGTTTAGATTGCTGTGTCTGGAGTGGGCTTTCTGCATTCTGGAGGTCTGTGGTTCCTTTTTATCGTGGAGGTTTCACCCAGTGTGTGGAGTTGGACGATTGGCTTGTCAAGGTTTCCTGGTTAGGGAAGCTTGCGTTGGTGTTCTGGTGCATGGAGCTAGATTTCTTCTCTCTGGAGTGCAATGGAGTGTCCAGTAATGAGTTTGTGAGATGGGTCTATGTGTTAGGTGTGACTTTGGGCAGCCTGTATGTTGAAGCTCAGGGCTATGTTCCTGCGTTGCTGGAGAATTTGTGTGGTATGTCTTGCTCTGAAACTTACTGGCTCTTGGGTGGTGGTTGGTTTCAGTGTAGGTATGGAGGCTTTTGGACGGTTTCTTATTACTTAATTTTCCCTGTAGTCAGGAGTTTTCTGGTGTTCTCAGGTTTTGGGCTTAAGTCTCCTGCCTCTGGATTTCAATTTTATTCTTCCAGTAGTCTCAAGACTTCTCCAACTATACAGCACTGATAATAAAACTTCTAGGTTAATGGTGAAAAGATTCTCCCCTGTGAGGGACACCCAGAGAGGTTCACAGAGTTACATGAAGAAGAGGAGAGGGAGGAGGGAGACAGAGATGAGCAGGAGAGAAAGGGGGACTCGAGAGGAGAGAGACAGATCTACGCAGTACTCTGTTACCAAAGTGTTCTCCGTAGCCCAGACACCCACAGAGATAAACAGAATTGGATTGGGAAGAGAAGGGGAAAGGAGGAAACAGAGGTGTTCTGAGGTAGAAAGCGGAGAGTCAAAAGTGGGAGAGAGTAATCAACACACTCTTGAATAAAAATGGGAACTGAATATTGGATTCTTAAATGTCTAAAATTTATATCACATACTGAAAAACAAAGATTAAAAATTTAGATTAGAGGTTAGACTCTTAAAAATACAATATTAAGAACAAAAACACAAAAAATTTTAGAAATATATATGAAGTTTGACTTAAAAATAGAGCTTCTCTTTTTTTTTTTTGCAAGGTTATAGTGAAATGAAAATGAAAAATAAGGAGTAGTAGGTGAGTAATAGAGGACTTTAAAAGAAAATAACAGAAAAAAAAGAAAAAAGAAAAAACAAGAAAATTTTTTTTTTCCTAATTAAAAGAATCATAAAAATATATGAGAATGAAAGTTAAGGAGTAATGGGGGAGTAATAGGGGATTTTAAGAGAAAATAAAAGAGAAAAAATAAAAAAGAAAAGAAGAGAAAAAAATTTTTTTTAATTAAAAAAAAGTAAAAATATATCTAGGAATTTCTCTGGAGCTGTTGAGGTCAGTGTGGATTCGGTTCAGTTTCAGATAGCTCCTCGTTCCAGCTTACACTTCTCAATATCTATAGGCCCCTTCCGCTGTAGTCGGTGTTATCTACAGGGATTTTAATCTGTTGCACCGGTCCCTTCTGAAGCGGTTCCCTTTGTTTATTTGGCTTCTGTTTGCCGGTCTCTTCAGTGTCTATTCCACCCTGACACAGGCGGGCGGAGGTGGTCTCTTGTTCAGGTTCACTAGTTCAGTCGCGCTGAGGGGAGGGAGGGGCGCTGCTTTCCCGTCTATGCTGCTCAGGCTCCCGGCTGCTCTATATGGAGCGGGCCCTGCGTTGCGTGCGGTTCCAGTTTTCGGGTACTCCACAAAAGCGCGGACTCGATTGTGCCTGCGTTTTGTGCCTTCCCCGGCCCGAGCAGCTCAGGCAGCCAGGAGCTTGACAGGCACACTCTCCCCAGGTGCGGTGCGCCTTCTCCCCTCCGCAGCCCCAGCCTCAGTTTCCGCCTGCGCCAGTCAGGTGCGTGCGCCTTGTGTTTAGCCGCGACCCTCCCGGCGGATGTTGACCATCCAGAATCTCAGGAAGTCTTTGGTTAGAAACTGGAGGCCTGTTTGCAGTGTGGTAGGGGATGCCACCTGTGGGGCCGAGTTTGCCCCTTTCCCCTCCCCCCGCCTCCTGCTCTTTGTTCTTTGTTCTGCGAACGGTGGGCAGTGTGTTCCGGCTGGTTCATTTTCTCTCTCTCTTTTGTTATCCCACAGTTTAAGTTGTTATCTCACAAAAGCTCCCTCCGATTGCCCTCAGGGCACTCAGGCCCGGTCCTTACCCTAAGCAATGCCGCCCGCTCCTCTCTGTTCCACCCTCCTGGTGGCGGATGCGGGCGTCTGGGGTACTTTTCTGCTGGGAGTTGCTTTTAGGCACGTAATCTGCGGGTTTTATTTATTTTTCCTCCCAGTTAGGTTGCCCTCTGAGATTCGAAAACTTCCCGCAGACCTGCCAGTGTGAGGGTTTCCTGGTGTTTGGAAACTTCCTCTATAAGACTCCCTTCCCGGGACAGGTCTCCATCCCTAGCTCTTTTGTCTCTCTTCTTATCTTTTATATTTTGTCCTACCTCCCTTCGAAGACAATGGACTGCTTTTCTGGGCGCCTGATGTCCTCAGCTAGCGATCAGAAGTTGTTTTGTGAAGTTTGCTCAGCGTTCAATTGTTCTTCCGATGAATTTGTAGGGGAGAAAGTGGTCTCCCCGTCCTATTCCTCCGCCATCTTGGCTCCTCCCCGCCACTCATCTTTATTATTTGTGTCTGTGTTGAGGTTTGGAGAGGGGACTATTGTATTAGGGACAGTGCACTCAGAATCCCTTACCACTTCTCTGCGTCTCAGAATCTCTGGCATATTCAGGTAGTTTATACAATGGGTTGTGACAGGAGAGTGTCTTGTCCCAACCCAATCCTCTACTCACATGCAGTGTGTCCGCTGCAGTTTCCTCACCTGAATAGGGGGCCAGGCTACATGAGCTTTTTGAGAGAGTTACCAGTCATGAGTATGAAGAGTTTCCACAGTCATGGTTAATGAGTTCCATTTTCCACCAAAGTGCTTTAGTCCAGAAGACTTGTCTACCTACGTCTCCTCACTACCTACCCAAATAGAAATTTGTGTGTGAAATAATGATCATTTATCTGTTATGAAATCAATCATAAAGCTGAGTGACAGCTGAGCTTCTTCCCTCTAGAGGCAACTGCAGGAAATGCAGGACTTCTGTGATTTGCTCATGGGGCCAAGACAGCTTTTTCCAGGCTGGCACTATATTAGTCAAAACTCAAGTCTCATCTTCTTTCCTCCAGTCAGACTATTATTTTTATCTTCCTATCATGATATAGGATGTTAGAAGAGACTCATAATTACATAAACAAGCCTCATCATCAAATAGACTAACAGGAGTTTTATTAAATCCAGTCTCTTCAATGATTGTGCACTTGGCATGAGGATGAAATGGGAAATTCATGCCCTTGACAAATATTCATCAAATACTTATGCTTTTCCCCCCATAAAACATATCTCTTGGTGTAGGAAAGCAGCAGAAAAGAAAATTAATAAGATAATATGCTTTATAAGAGGTTGATAGACAATAAAGTCTGGAAAAGTCCCATGCCAGGTGGTGATAAGTGTTTTGTAGAAAGAGAGTGATGGGGATATGGGAGGATGTCGAAGTCAAAGAAACCCTCTGTAATAAGGAGGCCTTGAGCAGAGGCTGCTGAAAATGAGCCTGGTGTGTTTGAGCAGAGCCCAGGACCAGGGTGGCTGGAGCTGAGGGGGTGAGGGGAAGGGAGTGGAAGGGGATGAGGCAGAGAGGCCACAGGGGCACGTCATGAGGAACCTTGTAAGACCTCATAAGAATCAGAATTTGACTCTGAGAGAGCTGGGAAATCATGAGGGATTGGTTATGGGAACAATGGGATGAAAGTGTTACTCAGTCGTGTGAGGTCACTCTGCGACCCCATGGACTGTAGCCCACCAGGTTCCTGTCCATGGAATTCTCCAGGCAAGAATACTGGAGTGGATTGCCATTCCCTTCTCCAGGAGATCTTCCCAATCCAGGGATCGGACCTGGGTCTCCCTAATTGCAGGCAGATTCTTTACCCTCTGAGCCATTATGGAAGTCAAACAATGGGGTAGGACTCCAGTTTTAACAGGGTCCTGTGGCTTCAGTGTGGAGAGTGATCTCTAGGGAGCAAAAGGCAGAGACAGAGGACCCTGGGCAGGCTGCTGTTGTCAAGATGGAGTGTGTACCTGTGTTGGTTCCGGGGTCTATCTCAGTTCTCTTGATAACATGAGTGATTGCTCGGTTGAAGTACTATGCATTACTATGTAAGGCATCATCACAAATAATGATGCATTAAATCTTTAGACATTTATGATTGATTCAACCTCTAGCCTCTCTCCCCACCCTGAGGTGTGGAGGCAGGGGAAGGGGAAAGGGGGAAAGAAAGTTCTGACTCCCTAATCAAGTGCTGCTTCCCCAGGCAACAAATCCCCATTCTTGGGTTAGGTTGAGGCTTTATTAGTCACCTCCTTCACGTGATAAAAGACTCTTTGTTGCTTTCATCTCTCAGGAAAGTCCAACTGTATGTAAGGAGCTCTGTGTCAGGAATGGGATGAAGACCAAAGTAGTATTTCTTATGAAATTTGCAGTATCAATATCCCTCAATATTCTTTTATTCCATTGTCCAAGATGTAACCAAAGTAAACACACTGGTGTGTTTTCTTCCATGGCATTTCTCCATTACTGCATGATGCCTTCACACTTTCATTTCAGGGTGGAAACTGTCAACCACACACATATGTACAGAAAATAGTATTATAAACCCATGGACTATTGTCTAGCTCTAATGATTATCAACATATGGAGAATATTCTTAAACTGTATCCTCCTTTTTGATGTATTTTGATGCCAATCAATGGCATCATGCCAATTCATCTACAAATATTCAGTAATAATATGGAATTATTTACAGTATTACCCTGTCATTATCAAGCCTAACCATATTAATAATAATGTCCTGGAAAAGAGGGTATCAAACAGCCATTTCACATTTCACGCCCCTACCACTCTCTATCGCAAACAAACTGGGGATTTCAGTTGTTCATCTTGCAGACTGAGCAGTGATGACCATCCTCTTATCTGACCCTCCCATGCCTACATCCCCACAGCCTAACTTCTGCCTTGGTCTCCATACAGGGATTCAAGCAAGGCCAAAATAATCAAACACTTCTACATTGCCAAGCCCAGGGTCTGGAAGACCTTTTTACATGGCAGCTGCAATGCTAAAAACAGCAACTTCAAGATCAGGGAGAACTGCGTGAGGACTTGTGATAGTGCTATCAGGTCCTGGGGAAAGATAGAGGGCAGGGCAGGTTGGGAGGGGAAGGAGGGGCAGCATCCAGGCACTCAGGTTCCAGAAGGTTCTGGAGGTGATGGTGGGGTAGAGAATGAAAGTAGGACAAGATCATGGGTTCAATCCCAGGCTCTATAGACACTCCAGTCATGTGCAGCTTTGCTCCTGCATTCCTTCCTTCCTTCCTCCAATGTTCATGGACTGTATCCTTGTGCCAGGAGCCGCATGGCATTCTAGGGATAAAGAGAAGACTTGCTCTCATGGTGCTTAGAGTCAACTGGATGAGACAGAACTAAAGCAAGCAGGCCCACAGGGGGAAGGGAAGAGGAAGATTTCTGCTGAGGAGGGGAGGGTTGAGAAGGAAAATGTGGAGGCTGAAATCATACTCATGAAGTCTTGCCCAAAATCTTTGACACATCATCTATGTTAATATTAGATAGTATTGCTGGGTGTTGTTTGTATTTTGGTAACATCCGGGTAACTGGGGACACATGACTAACAGTTTTTGGCATGTGTCTTCCTCCTGTTTTTTAACCTATAATTCCTACAGCAAGTCACTTTTCCCTGTGTGCATGTTAGTCTTTCAGTCATGTCTGTCTCTTTGTGATCCCAAGGACTGTAGCCTTCCAGGCTCCTCTGTCCATGGAATTCTCCAGGCCAGAATATTGGAGTGGATTGCCATTCCCTTCTCCAGAGGATCTTCCCAAACCAGGGATCGAACCTGGATCTCCTGCATTCCAGGCAGATTCCTTACCATCTGAACCAACAGGGAAGCCTTAGCTGTAGTTCTGTTTCTTCATCTCTAAAATATGAACGTTGACACTTAACTCCTAAGATGGTTAAATAATAAAAAGCTACTTTCCCTTGAATACTTACTATGAGTCCACTCTACAGGTCATAAAGTTAAATGCCCTCCAGTGAAGGGAGTGAAAGTCACTCAGTCATGTCCGACTCTTTGCAACCCCGTGGAATTTTCCAGTACAGTCCATGGAATTCTCCAGGCTAGAATACTGGAGTGGGTAGCCTTTCCCTTCTCTAGGGGATCTTCCCAACCCAGGGATCAAACCCAGGTCTCCCACAATGCAGGTGAATTCTTTACCAACTGAGCTATCAGGGAAGCCCCAAATGCCCTCCAGGCTAGGTGAGTAATGGGGATGAGAGTATTTGGAGTGGGGGTGGAAGCAGGGGGACAGAAAGGAACAGCAGGGATTATGGAAACTGGAGAAGGATCCCCTCCTGAGAAGAGAGCAGCTCTCCCTCAGTTCACGGCTTTCAGAGCATGGTCCCTTGAGCAGCACCCTCAGCCCCGGAAACCTGGTAGATGAGGACACTGAGGTTCCACTCCTGTCCTCTCAAATCAGACCTCAGAAAGTGGAGCTCTCAGATCTGTGCTTGACCAAATGGCTAAGGGATTCTGGTGCTCACTCAAAGTTGTGATGCACTGCCCTTGATAAATTGCAGGACTGTGTTGTTGACAGATGGTTTACTTTTTCAAACAATGCTAGAAATTCATTTTCTGTAAAACTCCCACTGTTAAATCCTGGCAAACTTCAAAATTGTGAAATGTACTGTGTGGGCTAACAATCATTGATATATTCTAGCCATATGTGCAGTCTTTATGCCTTCCTTTTAATACTTAAAATAATCCTTATAAAACATTATTCATGACGTCACATTTAAGAAGACTCTGTAGGTCCAAAACATGAGGTGCTGCTATATCATGTGGTAAGAAAGTGTTTGCTGATGACTAGGATATGAATGTCCCTTTCAGAGGGCACAGCATTTCAAACATGTGAACACCTTCTGTCTGCCCTGGGTATGCTCCATCCATTTCACCATGTGGCCTACAATAGCACGGGATCCAGTAGTCTTCTTCTTCAGAGGGGAACTGCAGAATAGAAACAGAGATATGATCTGGAGTCCCACAGTCTGGAATCTTTATCCAGAATACAATGCCGGTGATGTTCTTGCCTTGTTATTTCTCTGAAGATGCATGCAGAGGCTGGGGATGAGCTTGAGTGGGGAGGGGAAGGGAGGCTGAGCCCATCAAGGGGCATCTAACCTGGATCAGAGTGAGGAGGCCCAGGAAAGGAGTATGTTGGGAGAGAAAGACAGACACATGAGAGAGGAGAGGGTAGAAAAGAGAAGTCTCTGCTGTTAGGAGAACTCTCTGCAGCTGCCTGGTCTCAGGTCGATAGACTGAGGGGAAGAGGGGCAGGGCCAGAGGGCCTCCTGAAATAGAATTCTACCACCTGCAGGTAGTGTGTCCTGAACAAGTGACTTTACTTCTCTGACAAAGTGGGATGAGAATCCCAGATGCTGTAGGACTGACTTGAGGCTAAATGAAATCATGCATGGATAAATGTCTCAGGAGAGAGTAGACCCTCCACTCACAGTGGCTTGTTCAGTGAGTTACCCACTCCCGAAGCCCTTCTGTCCTGGGGCAGCTCGGTATTGAGAGCTCCTGCCCTTCTCCAGGGAAAGGGTGTCTGTGCGGGAAGGCAGCCCCCCAGTCCTCTCAGCTCATCACCCAGCTCTGTGCCTGCTTGACGTTTGGCTGGACTTGCTCCTGGGGCTTCTGGGCACTGAGCCCAGCTCCGTTCTCCTTGACCCTGGAGTGGAGCACAGGGTGTGTGTGTGTGTGTTAACAGAAGAATGATTGTGTATGAATGACTGAGTGCATGGGGGGCTTGCGTTAAGTGATTGCAACTGGGAGTGAATATACAGGAGTGCGTGAAGGGACTGTGGGTGTATTGCCCCTCACGAGTGCACTATAGTTTTCAGCCAACAATGCAACTGAGAGCATGTGCACAGACTCTGAAACCAGGACCCTGACTTCAAATCCTCTGTCTCCATTCTGTGATTTTAGGCAAATTACTTTATTTGCTTTCAGCTCAGTTTCCTCCTCTGTAAATGAAGAAATGTCAATAGTTCTTCACCCGTCTTTTAGGATTTTTGCAAATTATTGGAGTTGATATATGTCAAGTGCTTAGGATAATGCTTAACATATAAAAAGCTATGTTTTTACCCACTGTAATTACTTATTGCTATTATCATTAATATTGCAAGGGACTTTGACATCTCAGGGAAAATGAACGTATGTCTGTTGCTCCCACAGCGACCTCATGATGTGGGCAGTGCTGATCTCATGTGACATCTGAAGACATGGACTCTGGGAGATGCACATGATCAGGCACAGAGTTGGAAAAGGCAGAGCTGGTACTGGAACTGAGGTCCTGTGACCCCAGTGCCACTGGAGGAGAGAGCAGGAGGAAGGGGAAGATGCAGTGGATCTTCCAAGGTCCCCTGAGTTCCACTCAGGCAAGGCACACTCCTAGCTGTGAAAACAGATTGAGGGATGGCAGGTGGTCATGCTGTGGAGATGGGGTCAGCTCCCTACTCCTTCTCTGCCCCTCCCCTTACTCCTTCTTCTACCCAGAAAATAGGGTGGCTGCTCAAGCAGAACATTGTCTTCTGCAGCTAAGTTCTGCTGAGACCAGTGGCAGGTAAAGAGCAAGGGTCCATCCCGTGGAGAAGCTGTGGCAACGGTTGCACAAAGGTGTGCTATGTTACTTCTGTCTTCTAAGGTAGGTGAGGGGGTGGAGATGGATGACGGGTGTTGATGCCAAGATGTGATGACGCTGATAGAAGGCTGAACTCACACGGTGGTTGTTGTTGGTGAGCTAACACAGTGTTGATATCCTATCTGTCTTTTGATCGGCTCTCATCCACTCACTGACTATCTATCACGTGCCATGCACTGCTCTAGGTGCTGGGACACTCCCTGAGCGACCATATTGGAATCACGATCTGTGTTTACAGGAGACCCACAGGCAGAGTCCAGTCTGAGAAGCGCTGTTACTTGGTATTTGGCCCCAGCAACCAGAAACAGGAAATCAGGTGAAGATTGCACAATAAACAGGACTGACCCAGCTCCTCCCCTTCTTCTCTTCCTTCCTTATCACCTGATCTTACCTCTCGGCCAGGATATTAAAAGCTCAGTCCATCCTCAGCATTCTCAGGAGGCCTCCTGCAAGTCCACGAAGATGAACCGACTCTGCCTCTCTGCAGCCCTTCTCATCCTCCTGGTTATCCTGGTGGATGGCACCCCAAAAGGTATTAACAAGAGCCATGACCATGGTATATCTGGGCTCACTTCTCCTCTACACACTGGAGAGAAATGAGGAGAGTTCATGGAAAGGGAGGGGAGGCATGGGTGGGATGGGTGCTGCCACCCTCTCTGGATTTCTCCTGGGAAATTGGGCAGTTTTAACTCCAAGAACATTTCACCACTCTCAACCTGGAAAAAAAATGAAAATTAGAATTAAAAGAATATATATCCAGGTAAAGTACCAGATCAGGGACCACCTCCCTGAGACTATTCCTGGTCAATGCAGTGTCTCTGATCCTCATTGTAGGGTAATAAAAAGATATATATTTGATCCTTGAGTGATTCATGAGCCAGGCCTTTTGAACCTCTTGGAATTCACTGTTTTTCATAGGTCATGAGATGAGCCATGGACAGCAACTGACGATAACTTCAAAACCGCGCTTATCTCCAAAGCAAGACGAACATGCATTTGCAGGTTAGAATTTTCACCAGGCCCCATGACAGAATTTCTGGGGAAAGGGGAGGACACTGAGACTCAATCAATCACCAATGGCCACAGATCTATCAATATGCCTTTGATTTGAAGCCTAAATAAAAATCCATAAGCATTGGTGTTTAGAAATATTTCAGGGTGATGAACACAAGGAGGTGACGTGAGGGTGCTGGGCTCACTCGGGTATGGAGGCTCCACACACCTCCACTCTGCCTTGGCCCTACATGTCACCTTCATTTCACTGTCCCTGAGTTTTATTTTTTATAATAACATGGGTATAATGAGTGGGGTGTTTCCGACATTCAGTCGCTGGTTCTATAGAGTTGTTGAACATGGAGGTAGGGGTCATGGAAGCTCTGATTTTCACCCAGTTGGTCACAAGCATGAATTATTTGAGATCACATGACTCACATCTGAACTGAGGACAGTAAGAGCCCTCAACCAACAGGATCTGCACCAAGTCCACCCACACACTATCAGAAGTAAATTGACTATGCGACACCCAGTGGGTGTTTGGGGAATTGGTTGGTGTTGGTAGAGACACCACAGATTTGGTGTCAGAGAAAAACTCAGACTCACTCTACGTTGTGATTTGGGGGCTGAGGTGAAATGCGGGCAATGGGGAGTAATGAAAATACCCAGAAACTCTTACCAGTTATGTGTATTTTCAGAGTTCCTGGCCAAATCAGAAAGTGTGTCAAGTGGGTTGTGACCAGACAGTACCTTGTCCTGACCCTCCTACTATTATGCCTCATGTCCTGGGGCAAGTCATCTGCAGTTTCCTCATCTGAACAGGGGTACATGTTCCACGGGTTCTTTGAAATGATTACCTGTCAGGAATATAAAGAGTTTGATCACATTTCATGACCACTTTTGTCCATTTTCTACTTAGATGTGTTAATTTTGAAAAAATATGTCTGAGTACCTTCCTTGAGCAAGAAAGAATATTTAAGTATCATGAAATGATATTTCTTTATTATTAAAATGAATCAGAAAGATATAGGACCACTGAGCAGAGCAACTTCAGGGAAAGGTAAGAAACACAGCCCTTGCGTGGTTGGCTCATGGGACCAAGGCTGGTACAATATTAGTAAAGTCTCCAAGCCCTTCCCCTTGTCCCCTTTGACTGTTATTCTGTTATCTGCTTTTGATCAATTTCCTGGTTCTTGGCCCAGGCCTCCTCAAACTCTTGGAATTTACTGTCTTTCATGGGTTATGAGTTGCATTTCAGAGGACGAAATGAGATGCATTCAGGTATGGACTGGTCTAAAAACAATTTAAACCACCTTGTAAAGGTTTGAACCTTCAGTCCCCTTCACCATGCCGGCACCTCTGGGGAGAGTGGAGGATACTAACTGGGATCAATTATCAACAGCTGACAATTCAATCAATATGCCGATTTATTGAAAACTCAATAATATACACAAACGTTGGGGTTCAGAGTATTTTCAGGGAGATGAACACAAGGAGGTGATGTGAGGGTACTGTGCTCACTAGGACATGAAGGCTTCACACACCTCCACTCCCCCCTTTTGCCCTACACATCTCCTCTTTTTCTCTGAGTTGCCTCCTTTATAAATTTCTGGGAAAAGTAAGTGAAGTGCTGTCTTGAATTCAGTCACTGGTTCTATTGAGTGATTGAAGATGGAAGAGGGGTTGTGGTACCTTTGACTTTTAGCCAGTTGGTCACAAGTGTGAGTTATTCAGGATCATGGGGCTGGCATCTGAACTGAGGACAGTCTTGAGTCCTCAGTGTGCAGAGTCTAATGTGCCTGATCATCAAGAAGATTTTTTTTTACTAAAAGGAATTCAAGTCATATTCTTTCTATTCAATGACTGTGCACTTGCTGAGAGAATGAAGATGGAAGTTACTAAGTCCCTACAAAGCATTGTTCTTGGGGTGGGGAAACAGCTGTGAAAAAAATATGGCAAAATAATTTGCCTTCGAGGAGGGAGACAAACAATGGCAGAGAGGAGAAATCCTATGGTAGATTATACATTTCCTGAAGGTATAGAGGGATGTGGAAAAAGGATGCTGTGCCTTTTCTCTCCAGGGTCAGGGAAACCTTCTGTGATAAGGAGGCTTTGAGCAGATGTAATGTGCCTGGTGTGTTGGAACAAGAGCCAGAACCAGGGTGGATGGAGCTGGGCGGGTGGAGGAGTGGAGGCGATGGATGGAGGGGAGTGGAAGGCGATGAGGCCGAGAGGCCACGGGGGCAGGTCATGAGGAGACTTGTGGGACTTATTAAGATCAAAATTTGACTCCCAGGGAAACGAGGAGTCACTGAAGGATTGATCATGGGAGCAATGGGGGTAGGAATCAATAGTTACAAGATCCCTGAGGCTGCAGGGCAGAGAGTGCCCTCTAGGGGATGAAGGGCAGACACAGAGGCCCAGGGAGCAGGCTGCTGCAGTGGTGCACGTGAGCCTTGATGGGGTGTTTATTTATGTTGTTCCCTGAATCGATCTCAGGTTTCTTGAATAATATGAATGTCTGGCTCTGTTAAGGTTTCTGTAGAGGCTTCATTACCTAGTCATGATGCATTAAATCATTAGCTATTGGTGATTGTTCAACCGACAGCTCCTCTTCCCTCCCTGAGGTGGAAGCAAGGAGGAGGAGGAAGACGGAGGATAAAAGACCACGGAGGAGGGTAGGAAGGAAAGTTCCAACCCTCCCTCCTGCCAGACAGTCCTTCCTGTGCATTCAGAGCCCACGCGGGGGTTATGAGGGTCTTTCCAAAATCATTGACATCACATACCAAAAGACACTTTTATTGTTCTCATCACGTAAAAAATACCAACGTTTTTACAAACTTAGTGTTAGGAAAATAATAAAAAATATATATATTTCTTCTTATAATCACAATATCAGCATATCATTATTCAATTTATAGAATCCTTCTGAGGTATCCAAAGTAAACACACTGGTATGTTTTCTTCATGCCTTTTTCCATTACAGCATGTTTCCTTCACAATTTTTTTTTATTAATGGTGGAAAGTTTTTAACATGAACATAAGCACAGAGAATAGTACTATAAAACCCAGGTATCTGGACCCAGTAATTACTGACCTATAGCAAATATTTTTCACCTCTGAGCTCTTTTTCTTGTTTTAGAGTTGTGGGTTTTGTTTTGAGCATTTATGTATTTAATTTTTGCTTCCCAGGTGGTGCTAGTGGTAAAGAACCCACCTGCCAATGCAGGAGATGCAAGAGACCTGAGTTTGACCCCTGGGTTGGGAAGACACCCTGGAAGAGGGCACAGCAACCCACTCCAGTATTCTTGCCTGGAGAATCCCTTGGACAGATGAGACTGGTGGGCTACAGTTTGTAGTGTCGCAAGGAGTCTGACATGACTGAAGTGATTTAGTGTGCATGCGCGCGCGCGCACACACACACAAACAGACACATATTTATTTGGATACATTGGGTCTTAGTTGCAGGTTGAAGGCTCAGTGATTGTGGCCCACTGGCTTAGTTGCTCCATGGCATATGGGCCCTTAGTTCCCTGACAATGGATTGAACCCAGGATTCCTTAGTTGGAAGGAGGTTTTTAACCACTAAACCACCTCGGAAGTCTTATAGAACTTTTAAGGCTAATCAAAGGCATTATACCAATTTTCCTTAAAATACTTCATGAGAAGATATGTATCTTTGAACATGATTGCTATATCATGTTACATCTAGCAACATTCATAATTCTGTCCCAGAAAGGAGGTTTTCAAATGGCCTTCTCAATTTGGCCATGTCCCACAACTCTAACATTCTCTAATACAAACAAACTGACAGTTCTAGTTGTTGACCTTAAATGGAATTGTGATGACCATCTTCATAACTAAGCCACTGTCCCTTTCATTCCAGCAGCTTCTAAGCCTGCCTTCTGCCTGAGGCGTAAATTAATAGGTCCCTGCAAGGGCAAGAAGATAAGGTACTTCTACGATGCCAAGACCGGGCGATGCCAACGCTTTTTATACGGTGGCTGCAAAGGGAACAGGAATAACTTCCACAGCGCAGGGCAGTGCATGAAAATCTGCGGTCATGCGGCAGGGTCCCGGACGTAAGACAGGGCGCAGGGCAGGGTGGGAGGGGAAGGGCTGCGGAAAGGGGCGGAGCTCAGGGGCCAGACACCATTCATCCTGCACAGTGCTTTGCTCCTCGCTGCTGCCAGGAGGAGAGGCTGCAGTGTCCTGTGAAACCCACACTGAGCGAGTTCTCCAGGGAGAGAATGGCAGAAGGTCAACCCCTGATGCCTCTCTGTGGTCATCTCAGCCTGATCACATGCTCCCCTTTCTCAGTTGGGAACACTGACTCAGCCACCCTTCAGGGCAGGTCTGCAGGAGTCCTGAGCCTCCCCTCATCCAGGCTTGGAAAACTCACTGCCTTTTTGTTGGTTTCATATTTCTTTTGAAAATCTAGGATCTGTCAAGATGAACAGTATTTGGTTTGGGGCTACAATAAAGTCGCTCAGGAAGTTCCTTTTATTTTTTTTCTTGCAGGGGCCATGGGAAGATTCATGCTCCAAAACTCTGAAGTCTGAGGAGGACCCATGAAAGTCTGGGCTGTGGCAGCTCCTGAAACAGTTCAGTCTCCTTGCATTTCTTCTTTCCCCTACCTTCCTCAGCAGAGCCTGCCTATTTCCTTTCCTCCATGATGCTGAGAGACTTCCCTGGGGGCTCAGATGGTAAAAGCGTCTGCCTACAGTGCGGGAGACCCGGGTTTAATCCTTGAGTCAGGAAGATCTCCTGGAGAAGGAAATGGCAACCCACTCCAGTGTTCTTGCCTGGAAAATCCCATGGAGAGAGGAGCCTGGTAGGCTACAGTCCGTGGGGTCGCAAAGAGTCGGACACGACTGAGCGACTTCACTTCAGTTTATGATACCGGGAAAGATTGAGAGCAGGAGGAGAAGGGGATGGCAGAGAATGAGATGGTTGGGTGGCATCACCAACTCAATGGGCATGAGTTTGAGCAAACTCTGAGAAATAGTAAAAGACAGGGAAGTCTGGCATGCTGCAGCCCATTGGGTCACAAAGAGTCGGACACGACTTAGTGACTGAACAACATGGGTGTATACACCTTAGTTCTGTCTCATCCATGTGGCTCTTCTGAGCACCATGATAGCATGTCTTCCCTTTATCCTGAGCACTTAGCACAGTTCCTGGCATGAAGGAAGCAGTTCATAATTATGTGAAGAAGGAAGGACTGCAGGAGGAGCACATTCCTCTCGACCAAAGTAACTACAGAGCGTGACGTTTGACACCAGGATTGTTGTCTCAGCCCACATACTCATGGCATCCTCACCTTCATCCCCCTCCATGCCATCACTGCTCTCCTTGTGTGAGGCCTTGGTGGAATTTCTGGCATCCATTTCTTAGCATCAGTAATGAGAGAAGTCTTTGCAATAAAACAGCCCCCTTTTCCCATAAAGATGTTGCAGTTTTCCCTTCTGTATTTTCAAACACTGTGGCTTATATTTCAATAAATGCAGATTCAAAACTAAACTGAGGGCAGTGGAGTCTGTTGTTTTCAATTACAAATGTTTACCAATAGGATCCGTGGAAATGTGGTCCTTCTCTCTGTTCTGCAGAGCAGCGGACGCCTCCCCTTCCCCAGTCACCAGACTGTGCCCAGTACTGGGTAGAGCAAGCAAACCCATGATAGCATCATCGACCTCTTAATAGCCACCCCAAGTTACACAAAAGCCTAGGAGACAGACCCATCAGCATGAAAGCTTTTATTCCTTACTTCTAAGTCTAGTTCAAATTTGGGGGCGGGTTGTCATCCTGGACTCTCAGAAGGGGAAAGTGCGTGAGGTTCAGTTGTTCATCTTTCTAAGGAATCTGATTCCCTGAAGTCACATGTGGGGAGGGGGTGTCTTACTTCAGTTAAAGAGGGGCAACTACTGTTTAGTGTGCCAGACTCTGTGTTAGCATTTTGCCAGCATTATTCTATTAACCATCCTAAGAATCCTTCAAGGGAGGAAATGGAGGCATGGAGATGGCACTTAGCTGCTGTATTTGTTTCCTAACTTGGCAGCTTCCTGCTCTCCCAAGTAGAGGGACTCTGATGAAGTTTTCCTGCTCTTCCTCTGGGAATATGTAGGAGGGAGGCACTTCGGGAAAACAGTATCTGCTTCATGACAGATGAGGAAAATGAGGCATGGGGACCATAGCAAGTATAGTGCTTAAATAAATGAGAACACAGAGGGTGCTGGTGCTGTTATTCACATTCTTCCAATCTTGGGCAAATTCTCAATATCTCTGAGCTTTGCTCTCTTTAGTTGCAAAATAAGAATAATGCTTGTAGTTGTTAAATGTTTCTAGCAGAGACCACTGCAAACACTCCCATTTCTAGTTGAACTCATTGGATTAATAACTCACTGACGGAAGGAACAGCAGTCATCTTGGAAAAAATTTTACTGTCTTATTAAGACAATGTTAGAAAGAAATTATAGGATGTGAGCTTGTGCTTGGTGAATTTGGGGAGGGTTTCAGGAAGCTGACTTTGTTCTGGATGGATGGTGTTAGGAATTGAGTAGTTCTCTGACTGAGTATCTTAACTCTCAGAAGGGAAGACTAGAAAGAGGTTAGAGCAATAATTGGTCAAGAAATAGAAATCACTCGAGATAGAAAGGTATTTGGTCATATTGGTAGTTTGTGTAATGTAGCTCTTTTGCTCAGTGCTTGAACATGACTCTCCAATGTCCTATTTTTGTCTAGATCTTGCACAAACACAGAATGACCTCATCTGATGTTGAAGTTTTGTAAAATGTTTATGTCGAGCAGAAGAACAGAAGGGCCATTGTTGTACCAGGTCAGGTCTTGGAACTCAGAGGTTACTTTTCTCTTTGTCAATCAATATTGAAAAGGTATGATGAGAATAAAAGAGTTGTGTTTGTTAAATGCTTTGTCTTAGTATTGGCACAGTGAGCACTTAATGAATATCAGATCTGATAAGAGTAAGAGTGATACCATAAATCTGTAAGTTCTTTAATTTTTATTGATAGTTATTAGTTTATAAGAGTATAACGAAAATGACTTGAAAATAGATTGGCTTCAGTAACTCACAGTGTTGTGTGATCTTGGGTAAGTCACTTCATCTCTCTGAGCCACAGATTCTTCCTTTGTAAAGAGGATGGGGATATCTGTATTAAGAAATCCTCAGATTTGGGTACTATGAGAACCATGGTGATTTTGCTGCTAATGTGCTTTGAATATCACAGACCAAAGCATATCATCTAAAAGCACAGAGTTTTATTTTCCTCCACTCCTCACTTCCATTTAAATGTGCTGTCCACTGTAGTAAAGAAAAGAACAAATAGAACTGACAGTAGTAGTGTCATCTTCTAGAAGTTTGACCTCAGGAAGTTCCCCCAGTGCCAGAGTGGAGTCCCCGTCCCAATTCCAATTAGGTCCCCTTCTTCTTCAGAGGTAATCGAAAGCCCTCTTGCTTCAATGATTGACCTCACCCAAGTCCAGCCCTTTTCTCACACCACCTTGCTATGATTTGACCCTCTGGTCAAAGGAGTTAAGTGTTAACTCTCATAATTACTCATAATTATTTCAAAGGACTTTGACCCTGCCTGCAGAAGAATATATGGCTATGGCCTCCAGCACTTTCAAAACAGCCCCTAGATGTGAAGAACATGATCTCATGTAGCAAGTGTAGATGAGGGTAATTTCTGGACCCAGGTCACATAGACAGGAAAAGGAAGAACTGGAATTCCAACTGAGATCCCCTGTTCCTAAAACCACTGGTGAAGAGTCCAGAGTTGTGGTAGGGCTGGGGTGGTAGGTGATCTTCCAAGGTCCCTGAGATCCACTCAGGTCAGTCAGTTCGGTTCAGTCACTCAATCATGTCTGACTCTTTGTGACCCCATGAACCGCAGCACGCCAGGCCTCCCTGTCCATCACCAACTCCCGGAGTCCACCCAAACCCATGCCCATTGAGTCGGTGATGCCATCTAACCATCTTATCCTCTGTCATCCCCTTCTCCTCCTGCCCTCAATCTTTCCCAGCATAACGGTCTTTTCAAATGAGTCAACTCTTCGCATCAGGTGGCCAAAGTATTGGAATTTCAGCTTCAACATCAGTCCTTCCAATGAACACCCAGGACTGATCTCCTTTAGGATGGACTGGTTAGATCTCCTTGCAGTCCAAGGGACTCTCAAGAGTCTTCTCCAACACCACAGTTCAACAGCATCAGTATTTTTGCACTCAGCTTTCTAGTCCAACTCTCACATCCATACACGACTACTGGAAAAACCATAGCCTTGACTAGACGGAGTCTAGTTTGTTGACAAACTAATGTCTCTGCTTTTTAATATGCTGTCTAGGTTGGTTATAACTTTCCTTCTAATGAGTAAGTGTCTTTTAATTTCATGGCTGCAATCACCATCTGCAGTGATTTTGGAGCCCCCCAAAATAAAATCAGCCACTGTTTCCACTGTCTCCCCATCTATCTGACATGAAGTGATGGGACTGGATGCCATGATCTTAGTTTTCTGAATGTTGAGCTTTAAGCCAACTTTTCCACTCTCCTCTTTCACTTTCATCAAGAGGCTCTTCAGTTCTTCTTCACTTTCTGCCATAAGGGTGGTGTCATCTGCATATCTGAGGTTATTGATATTTCTCCCGGCAATCTTGATTCCAGCCTGTGCTTCCTCGAGCCCAGGGTTTCTCATGATGTACTCTGCATGTAAGTTGAATAAGCAGGGTGACAATATACAGCCTTGACGTACTCCTTTTCCTATTTGGAACCAGTCTGTTGTTCCATGTCCAGTTCTAACTGTTGCTTCCTGACCTGCGTATAGGTTTCTCAAGAGGCAGGTCAGGTGGTCTGGTATTCCCACCTCTTTCAGAATTTTCCAGTTTATTGTGATCCACACAGTCAAAGGCTTTGGCATAGTCAATTAAACAAAAAGAGGTGTTTTTCTGGAATTCTCTTGTTTTTTTGATGATGTTGGCAATTTGATCTCTGGTTCCTCTGCCTTTTCTAAAACCAGCTTGAACATCTGGAAGTTCACAGTTCACACACTGCTGAAGCCTGGCTTGGAGAATTTTAAGCATCATTTTACTAGCATGTGAGATGAGTGCAACTGTGTGGTAGTTTGAGCATTCTTTGGCATTGCCTTTCTTTGGAATTGAAATGAAAACTGACCTTTTCCAGGCCTGTGGCCACTGCTGAGTTTTCCAAATTTGCTGGCATATTGAGTGCAGCACTTTCACAGCATCATCTTTCAGGATTTGAAATAGCTCAACTGGAATTCCATCACCTCCACTAGCTTTGTTCATAGTGATGTTTCCTAAGGTTTACTTGACTTCACATTCCAGGATGTCTGGCTCTAGGTGAATAATCACACCATGGTGATTATCTGGGTCATGAAGATCTTTTTTGTACAGTGCTTCTGTGTATTCTTGCCACCTCTTCTTGATATCTTCTGCTTCTGTTAGTTCCCTACCATTTCTGTCCTTTATTGAGCCCATCTTTGCATGAAATGTTCCCTGGGTATCTCTAATTTTCTTGAAGAGATCTCTAGTCTTTCCCATTCTATTGTTTTCCTCTATTTCTTTGCATTGATCACTGAGGAAGGCTTTCTTATCTCTCCTTGCTATTCTTTGGAACTTGGCATTCAAATGGTGTGTCTTTCCTTTTCTCCTTTGCTTTTCACTTCCCCTTTTTCACAGCTATTTGTAAGGCCTCTTCAGACAGCCATTTTGCTTTTTTGTATTTCTTTATCTTGGGGATGGTCTTGATTCCTGTCTCCTGTACAATGTCATGAAACCTCTGTCCATAGTTCAGCAGGCACTCTGTCTATCAGATCTAGTCCTTTAAATCTATTTCTCACTTCCACTGTATAGCCATAAGGGATTTGATTTAGGTAATACCTAAATGGTCTAGTGGTTTTCTCCATTTTCTTCAATTTCAGTCTGAATTTGGCGATAAGCAATTCATGATCTGAACCACAGTCAGCTCTCGGTCTTGTTTTTGCTGACTGTATAGAGCTTCTCCATCTTTGGCTCATGTCAGGAGCTCTATTTTTATTGAAACCAAGTGAGGAGTAGTGGGTGGTCATGCTGTGGAGACATATTTGTCTCTCTGCTTCCCTTCTGCCCACTTTCTAACTCTTTTTTTCCTACCCCAAATGCCAGAGCTTGTGCCCCAGATGAAGATGCTCTTCCCTTGGCTCACCATCTGCCTGGACCAGTCCCAAGTAAAGAGCTGGTGTCTGTCCAGTAGAGATGCTGCCACAATAATTGCAGGAAGCCTGACGTGTCATACCTGCCTTGTGAAGTAGGTGAGGCTAAGATTGAGGGGGGGGGGGACAGTGGGCAGGATGTAAGGACACCTATATAAGGCTTTAAAGGAGGACCTGTGCTAACACACTGCTGATCACCTACCAGTCCTGTGATCTGCTCTCATCCACTCACTGACCATCCATCAGGTGCCATGCACCACTCTAGGTGCTGGGATATTCCCTGAGTGACCTTATTGGACAAAATTCCAAGTCTGGAATCACATCCTATGTTTCCACGAGACCCACAGATATAGTCAAGCTTAAGAATTGATGTTACTGGGCATTTGGCCCCGGTAGGCAGAAGCAGGACCACGGGAAGTGGGGAGATTATACACTTTATAAGATTGACCCCAGCTCCTCCCCACCATCGCTCCCGTCCTTGTCGGCTGTTCTGACCCCTCAGCTGGCGTGTGAGCTCAGTCAGCCCTCAGGTTTCCTCACAAGTCCTCCCACTAGCCACAGGGATGAGCTGGCTCTGCCTCTCCTCAGCCCTTTTCATCCCTTGGGCACTTGGTAGATGAAGCAGGAATCAGCCCTAAGGTATGTTCTGGCTGCACCTCTCCTCTACAGGCTGGGGAGGGGGTGATGAGGGGAGTTCATGGAAGGGGCTGGGGAGCTGGGCTGGGGTGTGTGCAGCAAACCCTTAGCATTTCTTATGGTAAATTAGGCAGTTTTCACTCCAGGGACATTCCTTGACTCTCAAAAGGTATCATCGCATGTTCAGTTTTGGAAAAAAAGAAAAAAAAAAGACTTTACCTGATCAGTGACCTCATCACTGAGACAATATTCTTAGTCATTGCCTTACCCTTGACCCTCATTGTCGTTTCATAACAAAACACGGGTTTAGTAATTGACCCTTGTCGCTGTTTATGCCCCAGGCCTTCTGAAACTCTTGGAATTTTCCGTAGTCATAAATCATGCGATGAGTGAAGGATAGGACCTGAAATAGTGTCTGGATGATAGTATCTGCCTGGGACTGGACTCCAGAACATTCCATCAGGTGCTTAGAAGGTTAGAACTGTCAACCCTCCATCCCTCTGAGGACAGGAGAGGTTACTGATACTGAGTTCAATCACCAATAGCCAATGGTTTATCAACTTGCCTACCTCTAACCCTCAACTAAAATCCATAAACACTGTGCTCAGAGAGCATCAGGGGAGGTGATAACATTAAAAGACTGAGAGCAGGGAGAATCCCAAGAGGGCTTGGAGGTTCGGCAGCCCCAACTCCCCGTTTACCCTACGCATCTCCATTTGGCTGTCCCTGAGTTTTATGCTTTACAATGACTTGGGGCAGTAAGTAAAGGGCTTTCCTGAGTTCTGGGAGTAGCTCTAATAAGTTATTGAACATGGGAGGTGGGTATGTAACCTTTGAGTTAATAGCCAGTTGGTCACAAGTGTGAGTGACTGCAGGACTTATGATCAACACTTGAAAGTATGGGCAGTCCTCAGGGACCCAGCCCTTACCTTGTGGGTTCTACACTACCTCTGTGGATTTAGTGTCAGAAGTGAATTGACTTCTGAGATGGGCAGTGGATGCTGAGGAACTGGTTGCTGTTGGCAGAGCCCTCACATGTTTGGAGTTGGGGACAATACCCAGACTCACTCTTCTCTATCATTTGTGTCTGGCATGAGGGTCAGGGCCATGGGACTGTATTATGTGGGGCAGAGCACTGAGAACCCCTTCTCAGTTCTCTGCATTTTCAGAATTCCTGGCAGAATCATGCACTTGATTTATGGGTTGTGATTTGTACTCATTTGTTGTAGTTCAGTATCTCAGTCATGTCTGACTCTTTGTGAGCCCATGGACTGCAGCCACCAGGCTTCCTTCTCCTTCACCATCTCCCAGAGTTTGCTCAAACTCATGTCCATTGAGTTGGTGATGCCATCCAACCATCTCATCCTCTGTTATCCCCTTCTCCTCCTGCCTTCAGTCTTTCCCAGCATCAGGGTCTTTTCCAATGAGTCAGCTGTTTGCATCAGGTGGCCAAAGTATTGGAGCTTCAGCTTTAGCATCAGTCCTTCCAATGAATATTCAAGGTTGATTGCTATTGTTATTAATACTACAAAGGATTCTGACTTCTCAGGGAGAAGGAACATATGTTTGTTATGTCTGTTGCTTCCATAGCAACCCCATGATGTGGGCAGCACTGATCTTATGTGACACCTGAAAACACAGGGCTCTAAGGAATTTATATCCTCAGGTACAAAGATAGGAAAAGGCAGAACTTGTACCAAAACTGAGGTCCTATGACCCAGAAACCACTGGGAGAGAAGACTGGAGTGGCTGCAGGGGGTGGCTTCAGGCAAACTTCCATGGTCCCCTGAGGTCCACTTGGGCAGACAGCAATCCTGTTTGTGAAACCAGGTGAGGACGGCAGGTGGTCATTGCTGTGGAGGTGAGTTCAGCTCTCTGCTTCCCCTCTGCCCGCCCCTCCCCTTATTCCTTATGTGAAGCAGTAAACAGGGTTACAACCCAGGAGGACACCACCTTCCTCAGTTAGGTTCCTGCCTGGACCAGTCCCTCGTGAAGGGCAGATGTCCATCCAGTGCAGAATCTGTGGCAATGGTTGCAGGAAGGTGACCCGTGTCACACCTGTCTTCTGAGATAGGTGAGAGGGGTCAAGGCATTGAGGCCCAGATGTGATGACACCTACAGGAGGCTGGAAAGGAGGACCTGGGCTCACACACTGCCACTCACCTATACATTTTTGATTTGTTTTTATCCACTCACTGACCATCCATCATTTGTCATACGCTGCTCTAGGTGCTCAGATGCTCCCTGAGTGACCATATTAAACAAAACTCCATCTATCTGATTACAATCTGTGTTTACACAAGATACACAGGCATAGTCAAGTCTGAGAACTGCTGTTACTGGACATTTGACCCCCTGCAGACAGAAGCAAGAGGCATGGTTAGGTGGGCATTTCACAATAAACAGGACTGACCCAGCTCCTCCCTGTTTCACTCCCTTCCTCATCACCTGATCCAACCTCTCAGCCAGGATACTAAAAGCCCAGTCCATCCCCAGCATCCTCAGGAGCCCTCCTGCAAGGCCTCTGCAGATGAACCAGCTCTGCCTCTCCGCAGCCCTCCTCTTCCTCCTGGTTATCCTGGTGGACAGCACCCCGGTGTACGAACACCATACCCAGGACCAAGGTAGGTTCACCTCTCCTCTATAGACTGGAGGGAAATGAGGGGAGTTCTTGGAAGGGGTGGGGTGGGTGCTGCCAACCCTCTCGGAATGTTTCCTGCCACTTGGGTGAGACTTTTGTTTGTTTTTGGCTGTATTGTTCTTCCATGTTGCACGAAGACATTCTCTAGTTCCAGGGTCTACTCTTTGGTTGTGATGTGTAGGCTTCTCCTTGGGGTGTCTTCTCTTGTTGCAGAGCGGGGGCCTAGGCATCTGAGTTCAGTAGTTGCGGTTCACCTGCTTAGTTGGCTCTAGGCATGTGGAATCTTCCCAAACCAATGATAGAACCCATGTCCCTTGTGTTGGCAGGCTGATTCTTAACTACTGGACCATCAGGGAAGTCTGAAGTTGCAAATCTTTAACTCCACTCACATTATGATTCTCATGAGGAAATATCTTAAAATTAAATACATATGTATATCAAATAGGTTGTGACAGGACAACATCTTGTCTGAAACTGGCCACCCATGTCCCCTGTGGCCTGGAAGAAGTCATCTACAGTTTCCTCATCTGAGCAGCAAGTACCTGTAACATGGATTCTTTGAACATATTGCCAGTCATAATTATAAAGAGTTTATTCACATTTCTTGGCCAATTTTGGTCATTTTCCACCAAGATATGTTCACTTGAAAAGATTTGTCTACCTACTTGCTTGGGGCCAGAAAGCATTTATATATGTGTGTGTGTCAAATAATGGTTACCCCTCTATTATAAATATTAATGAGAAAGCCTTGGAACTACTGAGCAGAGCAACTGCAGGGAATGCAAGAAACACAACTCTGTGTTGGTTGGCTCATGGGACCAAGGCTGATACAGTATTAGCAAAGTTGCCAGACCGTTATCCTTGTCCTCTTTTGATTATCATATTATTATCCATATTTGATCCTTGTCCTGATTCATGGCCCAAGATTCCAGACAATTTTGGAATTTTTGTCTTCCATAGACCACAAGATTGTTAAAGAATTAAAATTTGGTATACTAAAAAGGTTGACTAAGAGAATCTTCAATAACAGACTTAAAGCTTTGAGCTTTCTGTACCTCTGGGGAGAGAGGAGAGCATAGAGATTGAGACCAATCAGCACTGGCTGATGATTTAATCCATATGCCTATTTAGTCAGCCATCAATAAAAATCCATAAATACTGTCATTCAGATAGCTTTTGTGGTGGGAACTAATGGTGGTGTTGTGAGGGTGCTGTGCTCACCAGGGCACGGATGCTCCAAACACCTCCACTCCCCCTTTGCCCTACATACCTCCATTTCACTGTTCCTGAGTTTTATTGTGCATATTAATCTGAGAACTGCCTTAAGTAAGGGTTTTCATGAGTTTGGTCGACAGTTCTATTAAGTTTTTTAGCATGGAGGTAGGGTCATGGAAACTCTCACTTTTAATCACTTGGTCAGAAGCATGAGTGACTTGAAACCTCTTGGCTGGCAGCTTAAGAGAGGACAGTCTGGATGCCTCCACCTGTAGCATTGGCACTAACTCCACAGATTTGGTATCAGAAAATTAACTGTGGTTCTCCCGTTGGGTGTTGGGAATTGCATGGTGTTGGTGGAGAGACCATGTATTTCATGTCAGGAAAAAACCCAGTCTCACCTTCTCCTGTGATATGACGGCTCACGTTGAGGCTTGGGGAGAGGTGAGTAGTGAAGTATTTCTTTATCAAAGAATGATTATTCCTCTCTTATTAAAACTAATCAGAAAATGTGGAGCCGTGGAGAAGAGTAACTGCAGGGAAATGAAGAAACACAGCTCCTGTGTGGTAGGCTGTGGGACCAAGGCTGACATAATATTAGTAAATTGTCCAGGCCCTTTCCCTTGTCCTCTTTTGACTGTTATTTTCTTAACCATATTTGATCTGTTTCATGGACCAGGCCTTCTGAGACTCTTGAAAGTTTTTTCTAATAGGTCATGTGATGATTTCTGGAAAGCAACTGGAGAAACGTTCAGTAAAGGAGCTCCCAACACCAATACTCCAAGAAGAGAATAAAGGCTTGTACTTTCTGCATCTCTGGGGAGGGTCACTGAGAGTGAGAGCAGTCACCAGTGGCCAATGATTCAATCAATAAGCCTATTTCTTGAAACCTCAATATAAATTCACAAATATTTGGATCAGACAGTATTCCAGGTGGGAATGCAATGACGTAATGTGAGGGTGCTGTGCTCCACTAGGGAATGGAAGTTCCACACACCTCCATTCCTGCTTTGCCCTACAGATATCCATTTCACTGTTCATGAATTTTCATGTATATTCATCTGAGAACAGTAAGTAAGGATTTTCCTAAGTTTGGTCACCAGTTCCACCGATTTATTGAATATGAAGCAATCATGGGACCTCCACATTTTAGCCATTTGGTCATAGGCATAAGTAAATTTGAACCACATGGCTGGCACTAAAGTGAGCACAGTATTGAGCCCTCAACCTGTGGGAGCTGCATTTGAAAGGTTGTTGCTGAACAATAAGACGCCGGGATTCTTGGCTTCCGGAGGAGAAGAATTCAATCGGGGGCCAGAGACGAGGCTGGATCGCTCAGAGCTTTTGTGTAATAAAGTTTTATTAAAGTATAAAGGAGATAGAGAAAGCTTCTGACATAGGCATCAGAAGGGGGCAGAAAGAGTACCCACCTCCTAGTCTTCAGCTGGATGTTATATAGTCACTGAAGTGAAGTGAAGTGAATTCAAGTCACTCAGTCGTGTCCGACTCTTTGTGACCCCGTGGACTGTAGCCTACAAAGATCCTCCATCCATGGGATTCTCCAGGCAAGAATACTGGAGTGGGTTGCCATTTCCTTCTCCAGGGGATCTTCCTGACACAGGGATCGAACCCGGGTTTCCCACATTGAAGGCAGACAGTTTAACCTCTGAGCCACCAGGGAAGCTCCTATATAGTCACTAGCAGTCTGTTAATGAAAGAAAGGAATGTCTTAAAACTCAGAATGGCACCAGGACCCTCATCCATAAATTGCATTTTGTGATAATCCTGGCACCAGATGATTCATCCCAGGCCATAAAACATTAACTTGAATCTCTGTAGAAGGGCAGATTACCATACAAATAGTTTTGTTTACATAGATTAGGGGAACAATATCTGAGTATAACATACAGGTTTGTCAAGTAGGTTCTGAGCCATTTGGCGGAACTTGAAGACAGAGTCTGGGGTATATTAACATAGCTTAAGAAAAACATTTCCATAAGAAAAAAAAATGTATTGGTTAACTCAAGATTTGAGAATAGTTAGCTTCAGGTGAAACCAGGTGTCATGGCAACACAGCATTTTAAGAGAAACCTCCTTTTAAATTTGTATAGAGAAGGAAAAAAAAATATTGCCAGTTTGTTTCCTCCTGCTGCTTAAGAGAGATAAAAATGTCTGGCACTTGCAGCCTATTTCCTCCATTTGGAGACCCCTGGCCTTCTTGTCTGTTACCCTCTCACATTCACTGCATGGATTTCATCTCAGATGTCAGTTGATGGGAGATGCCTGGTGGGTGTTTGGGGAATTGGTTAGTGGTAGTAGATACACTACCAGATCATGCATCCAGATCATGCAAAATGATCTGGAAAACCTTTAGGAAAAGGCAGGTCTCCTGAAAAACTCAAACACCCATTTAGAGGTTGGAAATTCACCACTTTCTTACTAGCACCTCTGGGGAGAGGGGCAGGCTCTTGAGATTGAGATTCATCAGCAACGGCTGCTAATTCATCATTATGATTATTGAAAACATCCATAAAAACTCATATTTGTTGGGGTTCAGAGAGATTGCTGGGTTAGTGATCACCTGCACACATTATTTTATTATCCTGTCAGGAGATTGAATATTAGAGGGAGATTGACTATTATGTCGATGTGCCATATCATCAAGGTAATTTTTTTACTAGAACGAATTCAATTATGCCCATTCTATTTAATGACCTTGCACTTGTTGAGAGAATGAAAATGAGTTTGTAAGTCCTTACAAAGCACTGTTCTTGGGTTGTGAAAAAAATCTGGCAAATGGCTTGCTTTCTAGGAAGGAGACAAACAATAGCAAAGGGGAGAAATCCTATGGTAGGTTATAAGTTTTTTGAAGCTAGAGAGTGATCCGCAGCAAGGATGCTGTGCTTTTTCTCTACAGGGTCAAGGACACCTTCTGTGATAAGGAGGGTTTGAGCAGAGGCTGCAGAAGAAATGTGGCTGTTGTGTTTGAGCAACAACTTGGACCAGGGTGGTTGAAGATGAATGGGTAGAGGGGAGGGGAAGGGAGTGGAAGGGAATGAGGCCAAGAGGCCATGGGGGCAGGTCATGAAGAGCTTTGTAGGACTTTATAAGAATCAGAATTTGACTCTCGGAGCAGAGTCGTCACTGAGGGACTGGTCATAAGAACAATGGGATAGGACTGAACACCAACAGGATCCCTGGGGCAGCAGTACTGAGAGTGCCCTCTAGGGGGCAAAGGGCAGAGACAGAGGCCCAGAGATCAGGCTCCTGCAGTGCTCAAGTGCGTATCTATGCTGTTCCCTGGGTCGACTTCAATTCTCTTGAATAACATGAATGTCTTGCTCTGTTGAGGCCTCTATGGAGGCTTCATTACCTAGTCATGATGCATTAAATCATTAGGCACTGGAGACTGTTTGACAGACAGCTCCATTACCCTCCCTGAGGTTGAGGAAAGGTGAGGAGATGGAGGCCACAGGGTGGGATAGGAAGGTAAGAGGAAAGGCGGTCCTTTCCTGTGCAATCCAATCTGGGGTTACAATGGTCTCTCCAAAATCTCCGACTTCACGTACCGGAAGACACTTTTATTGTTCTTCTCACATAAGAAATACCGAGATTTTTAGTAACTCAGCATCAGGAAAAGGATGAAAAAACAAAAACAAAACACACACACCTATATTTCTTCTTATGATCAGAGTATCAACATTTTAATAATATCAATATTCAATTTATACAGTCATCCTGAGGTATCAGAAGTAAACACACTGGTAT